GAAAAATATATGTTCAGATTTGAAATGCCTAGCTCCTTATCGAACCCGGTGGAAGTCTAGTAGCTTCTTCAAACTATCGCCAGTCATGAAAAGATCCGGTCAAATGACACGAGTTTAGATCTATGAACAAGGCACGAAATGGAAAAGAATAGGCGACAGGCCACATCAGGCCTACACTTCAGAGCCGACATCACTATGTTATGTTAATACGTTACCAAATCCAAAGTAGCCAAGCTTACTGCAACTGCAAGCAACAAAGTAATCTAACACCGCGCCCGCAGTACCGGATTTCAACTAACAAAAATTTTCCTGAATATGCATACACTGATAATTTTATATTTACACTCTAGAATAGTAACAGAAATACAATGATCATAACTCGATGTAGCCATGAACTCATGAAGATACACTCATTTTTCTAAACGCAAAAAGCGCACATAATATTGGCTTTGAGTGGTGAATGAATACGGACGCCCCGAATTACAGTTGCTCCAATGCGCCAAAGTCTGGCGGTTATTCCAAATCAGCTTTTTGCTGCAGAATTTTGTATTCAAGCACAGAAGAGAAGACGCATGTTGCTGTTTTGGGTATGGTTTCACTAGTTTTCTATATCTACAACATGTTGCCTTGGACTTCGCGTATCTCGACGTAGGTAGCGACTAGCGAGAACTACAGCGCCTTTGCAAGCGGGGGCTCGGTGAGCCTGCAGTGTTTTGTTTGTGTCGCTGCAGGTCCTTGAGACCATAGAACAAGGCCGCATTTTTTCCCTCATAACTATGGACATTAGTGTTGGTTTTTGGTTCACACTATAATTATTGTCCCATACTTGCGAATCGTTTGTTATAACCACAAAGTTTATAATACAGTGAAGAATCCGTCGCAAAATGTACAGTTTCAAGGTGATCTTGACATGTTGGTTGACTGGGCTGATAAGTGGCAGCTGCGTTTTAATGCCTATATATGTAAAGTAATCCACCTTGACAAGAAAAAATAATGAACAGCCAGATTACAGTATGAGAATACACGGTTGCAACGACAGAGTGATGATAGAATAGAATAGAATAGAAGTGTCGGCATTGAAGAAATAGGCCCATGGCCTGTTGCCGATTCTTGAACTTTTCGTGACTTGATTCACAAGGGATACGGTCTTTGGGACTCGATTTTTCCATAACTGACGATTGATTAAGATAGCTGCTGGACTTAATGCCTGGTCCGTAAGTTGGTAGGCATTTCAAGACTGAACATATGCTCCTGCATAGCTTCGTCAAGTCTGTTTTGAAGGCGTTCATAAAGGCGTTTCGAAGTCAACAAAGGAAAAATATTTAAAAGTTAGTTTCGACAATGAGTTTAAATTTCCTAAACATATTGAAGCTCAAGTTAATACAGCCAATAAACGACTTGGACTAATCAGACGGTCCCACGAGTACATAGATGCTGAAGCGATGAAATTGTTGTTTGTTGTTGTCGTGCGTCCGAACCTAGAGTTTGGAAGAGTCGTGTAGTCGCCGAAACTTGAAAAGGACAAAAATTTAGTTGAGAGTGTTCAAAGACGTGCATCAAAGATAATTCTGGGATTAAAGGGCAAGCCTTATGAAGAAAGGTTAAAGATTATGAAGCTTCCAAGCCTCTGTTATCGACGTCTGCGTGGTGACCTCATTGAAGTATATAAGTATACCCACAGTTTATAAAAGGTCCCAGATGGATTACTAGAATTTGAAACAAGAACCAACACCATGGGCCACAGCTATAAACTAAAAAACTGCGTTGTAACACATCCATGCGGCAACATTTCTTCTCGCTTCGAGTCATCGACATGTGGAACAGCCTCCCTGATAGCATCGTTGACGCACCGAGTATGAACACCTTCAGGAACAAAGTAGATCACTAGACCAAGCTATGCAGGAGCATATGATCAGTCTTTAAATGCCTAGCAACTTACGGACCAGGCAATAAGTCCAGCAGCTATTTCAATCAATCGTCAGTTATGGAAAGATCGGGTTCCAAAGGCCAGTTCTCTTGTGAATCAAGTCACGAAAAGTTCAAGAATCGGCAAAAGGCCATAGGCCTATTCCTTCAGTGCCGACACTTCTATTCTATTCTATAATCAGAGCTGGGCAGCGCTACTTTGAAATGTAGCGGCGCTACCGCTACCGCTACATGCTCTAAATGTAGCGGCCGCTACCGCTACACCCACTAGATTGTAGCGAGCGCTACCGCTACAGTAAAATGTAGCGCTGCTACATTAGCCGCTACAATGGCCAAAATTATTGGAAATCTCTAAATATTTATTGTTCTGCTATTGAGATTTACTCATAAACATTTAATGATAATAAAACATTTCCAAAACATATCAGTGCAACTTTATTGCAATTAACCTAACCGAACTAGTACGGGTTAGAAACAGTAAATAAAAGTTGGTTATTTTTATGTTTTATCATCCCTGCATGTATGTCTACTTTAATCTAAAAATCTCAAAAATTATCCACATAAAAAAACTGTCTTTTATTTGTATATATATGTGGATAATTTTCGAGATTGGTAGATTAAAGTAGACATCCATGTAGGGAAGGTGAAAGATAAAAATAGCTGTGCAAAAATAACTGTAAGCAAACTGAAACATGAAAAATACCTGTATATAGTAACAGGTAACAACTTAACAAGTAACAACTAACATTTTGACACTATAGTAACAGGCCACGGTTGACAACATTACACCGAAATCTTTCGTAAAGTTATATTCTGTAATTTATATTATGTATGTATCATGCTCGTTTTTAAATAATATGTAATACTATTAAGTAAAATCTAAATGCTTTATCTATAAATGTAGCGATAGCGTTGTAGCGGCAAAACCTCGTATCGCTAATTAAATATGTAGCGGGCGCTACCGCTACCGCTACATTGCCTTAAATGTAGCGCCTCTACCGCTACCGCTACTCAAAATGTAGCGGCCGCTACATGTAGCGCGCTACTGCCCACCTCTGTCTATAATATTCTGATCATCTTTCAATCATGAGCAACTCATATATGCGCGCTCAGTAGCCATTTATTCTGTATAAGATTAAAATTTTACATATTCTGTTGTCAGTAGAAATTCATAGCGACAGGTAGAATATAAATCAGAGTTGGCATGATAACTTATGGACTTTTATAATCAATTTTTCTGCGGCGTAGTGCTTTGTTAGGGGTCGTTATATGTGAGTTGCTTGAGAAACAGCGTGGCGCACCGCGGCCGGAAGATAAGCAGACCTCGTAAGTCTAGATTCCGTGCTGAGGTAGCAGCTAGGCAGACCCCTCAAGTTCAGTATCCGTGCTGAGGTCGGAACTAGGACAACCTCTATGTTCAGTGTCCATGCCAAGGTCAGAGCCAAGCATACCTTTCAAGTTAAGTATCAGCACCTCTCAAGTCTAGTATTCGCACTCTTCAAGTTCAGTATCCGCACCGAGGTCAAAGCAAAGACGACTTGCAAGTTCAGTATCCGTGCCAAAGTCGAAACTAGGCAGATATCTCAAGTCCAGCATCTATGCCGAGGTCAGAGCTAACCAAAACCCTCCAAGTCCAGTATCAGCGCTGCGATAGGAAGCTAGACAGATCACAGAGTGAAAATTAAGTTGCTTTTCTAAAAGGGAAGATCACAGAGTATAGTCTCCAAGCCGAGGCAGGGAGTCAGACCGATCTCTTGTATCATGCCTCCATCCGAGCATACGCTGCCCTAGCATCAATCGATGATCACCAGGTCAACTCGGGATGCGTGGACAAGTCAAATGCATTGGTATGTTGTGTTATGCTTTAGTCTTCATTGGAGCATGCCGAGGAAACTTCCCAGAACCAAGTCCACAAAAAATAATAAATTTTTGAGGCAAAAGACTGTGGAAGCGATTTCAGTCTCATGGTACATTGTTCGGCGTCAGGGAATGCTTGGTAGGCCGTATTCCGTAGGGTTCTTAAAGGGTAGCTGTGGCATCAGCAGGTAAGGAAGTGTGGGGAGGGCTGAGTGAGCAGAAGGTAGACAATCTGACTAAAGATTTTAACTTTGATTGGTTGACACTCTTCCGTTAAATGCCAATGAGTGGAAAAGAACAATGTTCTCTTTTTGTGAAGATGATAATATAAAGGGGAAACGCGTAGTTACACCGAACACCGCGTAGTTACCAATTGACCCGAACTGAGAATTGAAGTTCGGAGGTTGTTCAAATGCTTAGGTTGCATGAGCAGTATTCGCTTTCAGAATATATTAGCATGTGCATCCCACGAGTTTTATTCGATTGAATGATTGGTGTGACATATATGGAGGCACGGAGCTTTAGATGATTTGTTTAAAGCATTTAATTGCTTTATTGTCAACTCTTCTAAAGAGTTGGTGTAAATGGTCGAATCGGTGCGCATACAAACTACTGAAACTAGCCTGCAAACTTGCGCAATAGACTGTCGTAATGGATACGAAATAGATATTGATGTATGAAGTTGTTTTTTTTATGAAATACTTAGAGTATATTTTACTTCAGGCTTCCAACTGACCCGATCAATGATATGACAATTTGAGGAGGTCTGACATAAGGAGGTCTGTCAGAGCGATCTTGATAATCAGGATAATGTCATCCTTTTTGCTACAAAAATTTATAATTAGGAACTGACGCTGCCGCATTATATAAAATATATACACATAAAGTCAATTTTAAGTGGGAATTAAACTGTATAAGTATTTTAAATTTGGCGCGAAATATAACTTCAAACATTATGTATATAAATAGCATTTCATGTTGAAAATTATTGCACTTGCGAATTTGACCAATGAGCGGGCGACCTTTGTACTTCGTTTCTGACAATTTTCTTTTGTTTTTAAGTTAAAGTATAATATTGAGCATAAAATTTGCCAATTTAACCTGCTACAGCATTTAATTTTAGTTGATGGTATATTTTTCTCAGTGATAGTGTGTTTGAAATATTCATATATCTATAAGGGCCGCGCTTTAACTCGCCATTCCTAGGGTCAACTAAGATCTGTTTCCCTTTCGTCTTTGATTTAAAATTTGAAAAAGTCAAATGACGAGTTTTAATGCTCCAGGACTATGCTCATGAGCTAGATTTTATTCAAATTTCCCAGTTTTAAAATTTCAATTTCATTGTCATGGCCCAACAACACAATATAACGACGCTTTATATCCAAGACCCTAATGGTGAGTGATGATTTTATGATAGGCACCATAATTTCTAACTGAATTAGCTAGCCTATTCTGAATTTGTGCAAGTGAACTTCATAAAATATATACCTGTGTATATTTGCCCTGCATTATAGGCTAGTACATATAATTTATTCTGATGTTGAATAGGCTATTTCAGTGTTTTCTATACTCATAAAATTGGCTGTTTACCTTGTTCTAAATTTCTATTAATTTTTCACATGTTTTTAGTCCAGAATATCCATTAAAAATTTACTTTGACTCAATTAAGCATGTTCATGTTATTCCAGTTTTCAAATCGAAATATTTAAGGACTTGTTAGCCTATTTTAATTAGCCTTAGGCAGTTGGGCCTAATAGGCGTTTCTGTGGCCGTGCTGCCCGTGCTGCCCGGCGTGCCCGGCAACAGGCCTACAGCCTAATAACGCTGAAACCGCTATAACCGCTATTCATAGTGACAAACCAGAGAGTTTTTAGAATCAGTTCATTTTTAATTTCCTCATTTACCCAAGATGCAAACCAATTTCTTATGTATGATGATGCTGGTATCCAGGATACTTTACTGGTCTACTTATAGGACTCAAAAATGAACTTGAGGGAGAGTCTAAAAAACTCTCTGCTTTGCCACTATGCCACTATTATAATAAGAGTTTCAAGTTAGCCCAAGCCCATTACCATTAACTTAAAATGAGGTAAATAGGGTCATGCACTAACCCAAGTTTCAGAAACACTTGGGTTGTGATTAAGCTGCAACTTCTGAGTAAAATGTTGCTGCATTTCAAGTTACTTAAATTTCAAATTTAGGTACCGTAAAATGGGGTACCTAAGGCCTAGTCTGGAAAAGTCCTATTTTTGTTTGAAATATCGCGGCTCTAATATCATATAATTTCAGTAGGTATGAAATCTCGTGGCTCAAATGTCATAAATTTTTGTTTGATTAAAAAATCGCGGTTTGCACTTCGCAAACATGTCATTTCATAAAATTTTCAACTTCCGCAATCCGCATTGCTTTACCGTTTCCGCCAAAAATATCTTGCAGAAAAAACATAAACATCGTAATGTAAACAAATAAACAAAACGTTTGTTGAAGATCGCGCATAGTTGCGGTCATGTCAAAGCGGTCAGACTGTATATTAACACGTGCTGAACTTACAGTAGAGACAAATTTTATTGTTGCCGTTTGACTGTTTAAGGGTAAAATTAGAGATTTGGGGTAACACGTGCATAAACTTTGTAAATAAATTTGCATTCGCACCTCGTAAATGGCTTTTCATGGCCGAGATTATGGCGAGATATGGAATTCACGGCTCGGTGAAATAGAATCACGGCTGGCAAATCCATAAAACCACGGCTCGAAAAATTCAGTCGCGGCTCGCCAAGTAGATATATTCCATACTAGCCTAAGGCTAACTTTGACCACTTTTTTTTCAAAACAATGCCATTTTTTACTAGATAAGTTAAACTTAAATTGAAACATGCAAAATACAGGTCTATACTCTAGCTTTACTCACCATAAATTGCTGGCTCCTGCAGTCCTGCCTCTCATAGTTTTGATGTAATTTCAAAAATAAATGATGGTCTTTGTTAGTTGTTACCCCAGCTCTTGGGGTTTCTTTGACCGGGTGGTAAAATCAATTTAATTTTTTGGTAAAATAACTCCAAATAACTCCAGGTTGTGTTGCATACTGCATTGTAGTAGAACTCTTCTAGTTACATATGCAAAAGACAGATTTTAGGAAAGTGTCATAGTTTGCAAATGGGGGGCCCCGCCCCCCCCTCCCCCAATGGGCAAAATGTGCCCACCTAATGGCAGCGGTGACTGGGCAACATTGACCAGTTTGGAAATTAAGTTAAAATTACCATATACAAGACTCTATAGAGTCTGAAACACAAAGAAAAAAAACATTAATTGGTGCATCAAACATAAAATATGTTATATAGGTACCTATGGTAATTTTAACTTAATTTCCAAGCCGGTCAATGTTACCCCGTCACGACTGCCCTCAGGTGGTCAAAGTTCCCCCATTGGGGGGCGGCGCCTCCCATTTGCAAACTATGACACTTTCCTAAAATTTGTCTTTTGCATATGTAACTAGAAGAGTTCTATTACAATGCATCAAAACCTGGAGTTATTTTACCAAAAAATAAAATAATTGGAGGGGGTACTCCGACAGGCTTTAAATAATAGCTCTTTTTCATGGGTCACATTATTAATTTTTTTAACTATTAGATATGCAAACTTTTTAAATCTTTCTATTGTGTTATGTAGCCTCAGTATTAGGCCTTTGATGGCCATTGACAAAATTTTTCTATGTCAAATCATTTTTGAGTTTTGGGGGTTTTTGTTAAAAAAATGAAAAGTGGTCAAAGTTACCCCGCCGGTCAAAGTAACCCCATTTTACTGTATATAATAGATTTTGTTTTTGGCAGGCCTAATTCATTTTTTTGTACCGTAAAATGGGGTAACTTAGACCACTTTATTTTTTATAAATGATGCCATTTTTTTACTAGCTAAATTAAACTTGAGTTGAAACATGCAAAATACAGGTCTATACTCTAGCTTCACTCACCATAAATTGCTGGCTCCTGCCTCTCATAGTACCCATTGACAAAATTTTTCTATGTCAAATAGTTTTTGAGTTGTGGGGGTTTTTGTTAAAAAAACGAAAAGTGGTCTAAGTTACCCCGCCGGTCTAAGTTACCCCATTTTACGGTATTCATTAATGTAATCTTTTTCTTTTCAATAGCCCTTATATAAATAGGTACTGAACTACTGATTACTGAATATTAGTCAATTAAATAATTTGTAGGTAGGTGCACATTCATTCTTAATTTCCTAATATACTATTAGATTTCACTAAACTTTTAATGCCTGATGATGCTGGTATCCAAGATCAAATTTTCCTAGTTTTACAAAAATTTTGCCATTACAAAGTGCCTTTTTTTTCAATACAATTCAATCTGCCACTTAGGAACAACAAGATTTCAGTAAAAGTTAGGAATTTTTCAATCCCAATATTTTTTCCAAGTTTTAAAAGAACCAGTTTAGTCTTCCATTTTTTTTTTTTTTGTCTGTATCTGGAGGTTCTTAATGTCTTGGGCCATATATGTATAAACGCACAATATTCTGACACTTTGAGGACGTAGCAAGAAATGAATGGCTATAAAAAGATCACCGTATGTGCAACTCAAGTTCTGATTGCTTTAATTCATTCTCAAAACACCACACTATGTGCCAGCAATGATGAAACATAACAAACTGTTGCAATATTTATTTAGAAGCCTTTAGAATTCAAATCAACAGAATTGCTGAATTCCAATGCTGTGTGTGACTAAATTTGGCATATTGTGAGACTAATTCCGAGAGCACTTCAAAAAAGTAATTCGTAATTTGGATGCCTTGTGTTGGAATTCCGATGCCCTGTTTGAGCTGTATCGGAATACGACACAGCTCACAACGAGCTGTGTGTGTCTAATTCCGTGCTGTGTCAGAATTAGTTTTTATGTGTCTAAAACCATCTCTTAACTTAATCATCTATTAATATATTTACCACTTAAAATCAGCAAATACAAGTATACTTAAACTAAAGGATTCCTAATATATTCACAAACTTATTTAAAAGTCTCAAACCATAATATTCTTTCTACACACAGTTTATCACTATTTGGTAGAGCAAGGTCAACTATCAACTTTGACATGTGTTTTGATGTTCTCACTGAGTGATGTGGACTTTTGCTCTGAGGATCTTAACATTTTCCAACCAGACCTAGTGTTTTGCGGAAATATGGCGTGCAATAGTATGACGTCACTATTTAAACCATCTAGGCATGCGTGGAACTAAGACAAAGCTTAATATAAAGGAAAAAGTTGAGAAGTGTTGGAATTACCCACAATGTCGGAATATGGTGCGTTTACCCTACTGGTCACTAGATAAAGGTATATACTGGTCACTTAATACACGTATATTACTGGTCACTTAACATTAATAGAATAATAGATGTAACTCTTGAATTAATGCTCTTTACAGCTGCTTCAGGAAAGGGAAGGAAATTGCATTTAAAGAGTTTTCCCTACTGTCAACATTAAAAATAAAATTAGTATCCAAATAATACTAGCAAAGATAAGTACTGTTGAAATGATCTTGAATAGCATACCAGTATTTACTATAACTGGCTTCAAGCCAAACCTCAAATTAAGTGACTTGGTCTTTTCTTACCTTTTGTAAAATAGAGTATCTAAAATATAGTCATGGGTTGGACAACAGACACTTTCTTCTCTCCATAAATTTGAAGTTGCTATTTCTGCAATTAATTGTCTCCTACTTTGTTTCTAGGTAGTTTTACCCATGAAACCAAACATTATCACTCTGAAAGCTTGTAAACTGCAAAAAGTATTTTTCTGTCAAGTAATGGAATAATTTTCATGTTTAATTTTATTTCAGGAGGACAACCGCAAATGTTCAAAGTGGTTGGAACCAAAGCCAATATTATTACCAACAATAATGTGAACAACAACACTACTGGTCAGCAACAGCAGACCATTCTGAGGACTATCACCTCATCTGCTCAGGCTCAGGTAAGCTAAGGCTCTCTACTGCTCTGCCAATCTCAGCCTCATCTGTAGGACTTGCGTTATTCACTAATCTCTTGGGGCTGTAACCATCAAAATTTAGTCAAGTATATACCTACACTGCAGCTCAGGTACATACACATTGTGGCCTAAGTATACTTAGAAGCTGGTTTTTTGTCTTTGATTGGTATGGTTAGGTTGAAAAGCCTTCATATGTTTGCTGACTGTTATGAACTTGTAACAACTTTTTATTTTGTAGCTGCTGGCTTTTATTATCCAGCTTACTCATTGGTCAAATGAAATAATCAACATTGAGATCTTTTAAAGTAAATTTAGACTTGCTATCACAATTATAGAAAGTATGTTGCATTAAATCCAATAGAATAAGAATGTAGGTGTTGCAAGAACAAAACTTCAGATTTTATTTAAGTTTTTGAGATGAGTGCAAGCGAAGTAAAGGAGTTTCATTCATCTTCTAAGCATTAGAAAATTCTAATTGTTTTACTTACTTTATGCATTTGGCTTTTGCTGCTAAATGAATCATGTTGAGGAAATATGTTATTTCAGATTTCCTCGCCATGATATTGGTTTATGAAATTTGAAACAAATACTTATTTGTATATGTATTGGTATAGCCTCTCTCTATGTATACCTATTGGTATAACATTTCTGCTTTCTCTATTGCTTTTGTGAGCATTATTGGTTTTATATCATATGTATGTTTACTTGGGTAAGAAGCAAATCTGTATTAGTGTTGAACCGGTTATTGATCTTGTTTTCTCATAATTATTTTACAAATTAATTTAAGGATGCCAAAACTCTAGCTGCAAATTTTATTTTCTGACTATGGTTTCATTACAGGATTATATATATATATATATATATATTCATTACAGGATATATTTAATTTTATAACATGTTTGATGTCCTAAGAAAATTACAGCTTACTGCTGTCACAGCTTTGCATACAATTTGCAATATTAGTTACTTTTTACACTTGTCTTATGTGAATAAGACAAGTGTCTTTTTTATGATGTCTTAGGTGAATTCACCTCCAGTTATAGAAAACATTTTCCAGATTGGTTGTTAGTGCATTTTCTCATTTATGGAAAAAGGCGCCATTGTGCTTGTCATGTCTGTCTGTCTGTCCATCCATGACTACATGTTTTCATCAATGAGAAAATGCGCTCTCTGTCACTCACTGCAGTGAGAACTGAGTAATATTTTTTAGTGCATTTTCTCATTTTGGAAAAAATGCACTATTGTACTCGCCATGTCCGTCTGTCTGTCCGTCTGTCCGTGACCCCAAGTTTTCGTTGACGAGAAAATGCGCTCTCTGTCACTCACTGCAGTGACCAGTGAGTACTGAGTAATATTTTTTTCTTCTGAATGTGAAATTTGAACTCACTTCCAGGGTGGGAGTGGCACAGTAAACTTGGGAGCTAGCTTCTCTCCAGGCACCATCCTGCATGCGAGCAAGTTATCCAATGGGCAGATAGTGACAGTACCAGCCAGAGCTGCTTCCACGGTCATGCGTCAGTATAATTATTGGTATAAGTTTGGCAGAAGTTCTTCATTTATGCAAGTTTAATTGATGACCAGAGAATGCTTTTTATTGATAATTTCATTGTTTGTTCAAAATTTGTATTTTACAATTTGTTGGCATTTGCTATTTTCCAAAATTTACCTACCATTTATTTTAGGGTGTGGAAAATTCCATTGTCATGTCATAGATATAGATTTATCTCTTCTGTGTTTTAAGCTTATTTCTGGGCTTGAAATTTTTAAAATCTGAATTTACTAGGTATTCATTTTTTGTTTGAAATATAATTCTATTTTAATTGTTTTTAAGTGCTGTAAAACAGTTTTGATTGCTTAAACAAGTAAAGGAATATGATGTGACAGGCCCTGTGTTGGTGCATGATTTAAAAATTTCTTTCATTAAATTATAATCAGTTTTGATTTAGGGAATTTGTGAAGACTAGTGCCTAAAAAACTTGTGTTGTGACAGGCCCTGTGATGGTGCCCGCAAGTAGCCTGCAGCAGCTCAAGGCTGGCAGCATCACTCTGCAGGCTCAAGGCGTGCGTTCAATTTGTTATCTGATATCATTTACTTGAATTATCCCAAATCTTGTGTAATATTAAAATAGGAATATTTACCTGCACCTCAGATGTCCACTAAGTTGTGTTGTGGATACAATCAAACTGCATATGGCATTTGTTCAGTTTGAATTTGTTGTCTAAGCTCATTTGATTGAATAATAGGTACCACTTCATACGTAACCTTATTTTAGGCTTGAATATTGATATGAAGTTTAAAATTTAGAAGGTTAGCAGCCTTATTAGACCCCAACGTTCACGCAGCTTTGCAATAGTTCCTTGAAGCATCCAAGAAAATAGTTCTCAAACTAGGAAAAACTACTCCAGTAAAATTAGTGTAGTTTGAAAGTCATCAAGGGGAGAAATGATCTTCTTTACAATGAGATATTTTCTGTATTTGTTAATATTTGTGAAATAATAGTTGCAAAATGTGTATAGTGGTACGTTTAATTGAGTTACAATATGAAGAAGTTTGTGTGCAACTGATTTTCCTAGTTGTTGCCTTTCTTTGCACTATTTGAAAATAAATGAAATATTTGAAATGTAGGTAAATGAAAAAATTTGAAATGAAAATCGCTATTACTTAAACTGTAAGTAAAATACTAAAAATTGCCTTTGACAGACCGGCAACAATAAAACCTTCACGCCAATCTCGCGTCCTGTTGTCATCCGAACACAAACTGGTAACATCAACACCGCTGGTGGCGCTGCTGGTGGTGGTGGTGGTGGCCAGCTGTCAAAGATAACCGTGACGCCGTCCTCTCCTGCAGTGCAGAGTGTGCAGCAAGTGCAGACTAACGTGCAGCAGCTGTCGTCAAATGTGCAGCTCAAAATGAAACTGCAGCAGCAGCAGCTAGCTGCGGTGCAGCAACGGCAGCAATACCAGGTTAGTTAATTGATGTCACTCAATTGCTCGAATTACTAATTGAGTAGAAATTTAAAATTCCACAGAAATTCAACATGTCTTTATAGAAAACGTTTTGGGGTTCAGCTTCATCGCCAGATCAAATATTATTCTAGTTGTTCGGAATTTTTGAACTGATATCGAGTGGAGTGACGTTAATCATGAAGATACAGTGAATTTTTGTGGAATTTTCTTTGCTTTTAAATTTCCAGGTTAATGTGGAGAAAGCGTGCATCCATAGTGGTAGAGGGAATCGGATGTGAGGTGTGGCATGAAGTTGAAAAGTATATTGGCCTGATAAAAGATAAACAAATATACCTATTTGTAAATTGTAAGATCTCTGCTCTGCATATTTATGCACGTTTTTATGATATAATTTTTAGATTTTTAAGGGTCAGTTTCAGGCTCGGCAACGTCGACAGCAGCAGCAACAGCAACAACAGTCCCAGCTCCCAGATTCCGAAGTCGCCCAAGATACGAAAGTTACAATTCAACCAAAGATCCAATCTGTGTCCACCCTCAACCACGTACGTTTTCTATCTCAACCCCAGCAACAGAAACAACAGTCAGAGGCTGTTGTAATTAACAAAACCCAGCAAGCAGAACAAGAACAACAGCCACAAAATCCAACAGCCTCGCCGGGCAAGCTTTACCTCAACACTCCAATTCTCGACCACTCGTCGGCACGCAAGAGACAAGACTTTGATTTTGACTACAGTGTTGAGAGGTGAGTTCTAATTTGGCTTTAAGACAAAATCTGGATACTGTCAAAATGCCATTTAGCCGGAGATTTGACATTGATTTGGACTAAATCATTGAGAGGTGAGATGGTGCTTGGCTCCAGGGCAAAACATTGAACTACTTTATCCACCAGGCATCTGTGGCTAGAATGACGTTGATTAAACATTGTTTCAACGTCATTTGCCGAGAGAGAGGAGACAAACAATCTTGCTTTAGGCAAGACTTTGTGACTAATCAGTGAGAATTGATATGGTCTTCAATTATTAAGACTAAATCTCAAGGTAATCAACCATTTGGCTGTGTCAACCATTAATTGAACTCAACAAAGTTATGAAAAAAGAATTCATAACAAGAGAAAGTGATTAATTTTATGATTGAACTTATACAGTGCAACTGAACCTCTTGCAATTTCTGGTTAAATGACTCCGACATTTATTCACTACCCTACAGCTTTGTTGAAGTGCAATGACCTGCAGGATTAATAATACAGTTAGTGCTGTGCAGTTGCTCTGCTTATTGTCATATCAGCGAATAATGGTTCATAATTAAAATGATTATTCTATGCCTACCTGTGAGCGTGAGGCTATGGCTTCCAGACTTCATTGTTAAAAATTATGAGATTCTACACTACTTTTCAACTTCGAGAAATGAAGAAGAAATGTTTGCTCATAAAATCCTTATGAGCAAACCATACTGTAAATGACACTGGTTTTATGTACTTGTGTATCCTCGTAACCAAAATATAAATATTTTATTGTACTGATATTAAAGAATATTTCAGCAAGCGCCGCAAGACTGAGAAGGGTGGCAAGGGACTGCGCCACTTCTCCATGAAGGTCTGCGAGAAAGTCAAGGCTAAGGGTCGGACTTCATACAACGAGGTTGCTGATGAGCTGGTGGCAGAGTTCTGTGACCCACGGCGCTGCGCCCTTCCTGGCGACTCTAATGCAAGTTTCTACCTAGCAACTTGAATTATGTTATTTTCTGCCTGGTGACTCTAATGCCAGTCTGCATCTTCACTGAAGTCTCTGTATCGCATGCGGGCCCTGTATGAACTGATTATCGTCAACCAGGAGGCAGGGGTTCATATCCATTGCATTTTTAGGCAACAGATCTGCCATATATATAATTCTAAGTGGAATGTGAAATAGTGGAAACTAATATTTCACATATCCTAGACATAGTACCATAATTCTTTCTTAATTAACTACTATTCAAGATCATTTATGGCAGGCTAACATTATTTTCATCAACAGGACGATCAGAAGAACATCCGCCGACGCGTGTATGACGCGCTCAACGTGCTCATGGCGATGGACATCATCAGTAAGGAGAAGAAGGAGATCCACTGGCTGGGGCTACCCACCAACACCGCACAAGAGTGCAGGAAGCTGCAGGAGGAGTGCAGCAAGAGGACCAGAAGGATACAACACAAGACCCAGCAACTACATGATCTTATATTGCAGGTGGGCACTACACAGAACAACTGCTCGATCTAGACAAAAAAATAACTCTTAGTCTATATAGAAATTAACTATCATCAATTCTATTTGTATCTGAATGTATTGAAACTATTTAATGGTAGTAGACCAAGGGTTATGTTTATTCTACAGACATTACCCATATGGAAATCTTTCCATATCTAAATACCTGGTAATTAGCTACCGGCACTAGATGAGGAGTCAAGAACTAAGGTAATCACCCCGCCATCAGTAAATAAAGTTAACATTAATTAACAAAGATTTAAGTATTATCTCCTCGCAGCAAATTGCCTTCAAGCGCCTCGTGAAGCGCAACCGCGAGAAGGAAATCGAGCGCGGAGGGTCACCGCCCCCCAACACCTCCATCCCGCTCCCCTTTGTGGTGGTCACCACCGCCAACACCACCACCATCGACTGCAGTATTGCTAATGACAAGTGAGTGATGTTAAGCATGACGTGCCCAATATTGCTAATAGCAATGTTCCCACGAGGCATATGACATAAAAAAAACGTTGATAAAACGTTTCAACAAAATCAACTAGTATTTAATTATGTATCAACATCATTTGCCTATTAGGGTTTTTCTTTTAAAATAGTTCAAGTTGCATTTATCCAACAGGACGGAGTATTTATTCAGTTTTGACGGCACATTTGAGGTCCACGACGACATTGAAGTTCTCAAGAGGATGGGCCTCGCGCTAGGTGAGTCAACTGGCACCTGTTGGGGTGCTGGACTATAATGGGCGCTGGGGCTGTTATGGACGCTGGGCTGTAAAGAGCACCGGACTGTAGAGGGCTCTGGGCTGTAAAGGGCTCTGGGCTGTAACAGGCGTTGGGCTGTACGAACGGGTGCTTGGCTGTAATGGGCACTGTTCAGTAAAGAGCGCTTGGCTGTAATGGGCCATGAAAGGTATTTTTGTAGAAGTAATATCACACATCTAATATTTGACCTTGTACGCAATGCCCTATTGCGCCATAGCAATGATGCTGTATTGCGGCAGATATGTAATGCTGTATCATATACTTTTTTTGAGATGGGAAAAAGTGCGTTCGCCGTATCGTGTTATTTTATTTAGTAAATGGTTGCAATTACACATACTCGTGTGGTTACCGTAAGCGATCTAAAGTATATTTTATGTGATAGATATCCTAATGTGCAGGGCTGGAGAACGGCCAGTGTAAGCCATCAGACATCAGCGCTGCTAAAGCCATCCTACCTCGCGTGCTGGAGAGCTACGTGGATGGTGAGTGTTGTGGTACATCATAGTGTGTTGGTGGTGTATGGTGTGTTGATGGTGTATGGTGTGTTGATGGTGTATGGTGTGTTGGTGGTGTATGGTGTGTTGGTGGTGTATGGTGTGTTGGTGTACGGAGCGTGGCTGAGGGAGCAGTCCTTGCATCATGATCCTTCTGTGTCTTAAAGCTGTCATTTTTAGCGTAAAACTCAAATACAGGCTCTTTATGATGAAAATATTTTGTCATCATGTACAATGCAACTACGTAGCCTCAACAACCCACCCATCACATCAACCTACAATCAATTTATTCTCCGCCCCCTTCCTGCAGACCTTGCCCAGGCGCCGCCCCCCGCCTGCGTGCTGTCGTCTGCCCAGCTGGTGCAGCAGCTGAGCGGCGTGACGACAGCCGCGGGCGCCCCTGGGACGCCAGAGCTGCTCGTCATGGAAACGTCAGATTCCATCGGAGGCGCCCTTGGTGGCGTCCAGCTGCTGACGACGGAGGGCGGCGTTCTGCAGGGACGTGTTGCTCGAGCCGCCATCAGCGAGTCGCCCACGTCCAGCATTGCTGGGGACGACGAGGCTGGCGTCCATACGCTGGACGACAGCGAGAGCGAGACGAGCTAGGAACCCTGTGTGACGAGGCTGGCGTCCACAAACTGGACGAACGCGAGACGAGCTAGGAACCCTGGGGACGACGAGGCTGGCGTCCACAAACTGGACGATTTCTTACGAGCCGTGGGCGAGATTCTTAAAAGTTATCCCGTTGCCGTAACTATTGCCGTAGGTATTTGATATTTTATAACTGAGTTTGCTCTGATTTTATGTTGCTTAATGGAAAATGGTTGTTATTGCCACGGATCTTGGTTTTATACCAATTTTTACTGAATGACGGATTTATTTCATTGTATTTCTTTGTGTTTTATTGCATAAAAGTTGGTTTCCCCCTTCCGTTTTCTGTTGTATAGTTTCCTTGCTATTGGTTTCCTTGTTTGTACTTTAGTTTCATTTTTTCTTGTCTTCTAGAGTTAGATTTCAAACCGTAAGTTTATTTTATTGTCTTCATACTCACGAGATTTAGCTCGTTCCCTCTTAGTTCATTTCATTTGTGTATAGTTATTTGTCCTATTCTCTGAGTTGTTTTTCTAAGCATCTCTTCTTTTTCAATTGCCTATCTCTATTTGTTTGGTTTTCTATTCCATTCTGCCGAATATTCCATGATTTGAAATACTATCAAAGATGTATTTAACAGTAACTTGGTCCAGGTTTTATTACGTCGTTTATAGAATTTACCGAGAAAAACGTAGTTAAAAGGCAAAATATAATAATTGTTAAATTTAAATCCATCATCTATTTAAATTCAGATGTACAAAAATAAGATATTAATCGGTGACATTTTAATAAAAACTATGCATCAGTTGATTGGTAAATTCTTGTTGAAAAAGAATAACGTGTCCTGAACCAGGACATGAATAAAAAATTTGTATTCAAAATTTGAACGTGCTGATTGAGTACACGCATGTTTCGTACGTGCCCTCGTGCGTCGTGTAGATCGTAGTTATTTATTAGTTTATACTGGACAATGACATGTTCTAATGCCTTATATATATTTTGTTGTAAGCTTGTTATGGGCTAATTGCTCGTGTTGGATGAACCTCAACTGCGTGAAAATTCAGGAAGACTTAGCTGTGGACGTGAAAACTTGAGCGCCCGAGTAAGACTCATTTCTTGTGTAATGAAGTTCGCCTATAAATATTGTACATACGATGTGGTTGGAGATTCCGTGTGTGGTGGGTTGCCACCTCTGTGGTTGTGCACCCTAGGGTACCCTTGAGTACACTACGCTGTTAGCATGTCCACTTCGTCGAGTTAATTTTATAGTACAAATGTAGCGATCATTCAGATAATTCAATGTAAGGCCTGCCTCGAAAAAAGTTTCATTGTCCCAGCGGTAAAGCACGTTGCCTCAGCGTGCCAGGGAGAGTAAGGTGAATAATGTCACGATTTTTTACTATTTAATTACGAGTATTTCATCAATCGTTATTTTATGGAATGTAACACAAAAGTTGGTCGGTATGTCACAGCAATTGGAATGCTCTGTTATGCTGAGAATGTAAAAAGTGTTGCCCACTCACTGCAGTGACACGACTCACGGTATACACTGCAGTGACACAACTCACGGCATACACTGCAGTGACACAACTCACGGCATACACTGCAGTGACACAAATCTTAAATTTTTCGCATTTAAATTAGGTTCCTGGTAGCGTTGTCTGTGTACGTATATTTTAATACATCAAGTTTGTGATTTGACATCAGGAATGTGATGCAACATTGAGATTGTAATCCACGATTGGGATTACAATTCAAGATCGTGAATCACTCTAGGCAATGTTATGCAAGATTAGGAATGTGACGAAATATTAATTCAAAGCAACATTCATCAGAAATGCTAAGAGACAATGCGAATATTTCCATCAATTATTATGCTAGCCAATATTGAGGATGCAATACAACATTAACCATTTAGCAAGCTGACAACAATGCTAATTTTCTAATCAATCGCATTGAAGATTCATGAAATATGGTATCTAAGCTTAAAATATGTGGTAGTTGGTACTATGCGAACATTCATTCCTTATTATAAAGGAAAATTAACTCGAATATATTCCAATTAAACTGTTACCGGTACTTATATTAATTTAAAAGACATTACTTCTTCAGACTTTTGAAAGAGCGGAAAGAAGGTCGAAAGCCGATTTTTATCGGCTTTCGGCGCACAAATCGGCGATTTTTTTATCTGGAGCCGATTTTTACCTACGATTATCTGGATAGAGCCGATTATCTGGAGAGGTAATGGCAGGAACTGATATTTTGTTTGGAACAATGGGAAAGTGATTGGTAGTTGGTCCGGAGCCTCGAACACAAAGCAAAGTAAACGGTGGATTTTTTAAGGAGATTTTCCTATCAATTGTAAGTATAACTATTACCCGGAACTCTCCCATCCCTGGTACCTACAACTTGTTTCCCGGATCCGGTCTCATCACTGCTAACCATGACTAGTGCCCGAGCCGGTCCCGTCAGTGGTAACCATGACTAGTGCCCGAGCCGGTCTCATCAATGGCAACTTCAATTGTGGTGACTAGATCTGTAGGCCCACAGACTGCACGGCGACATCACATCAACCCTACAACTGTGGTGCCCAGTCGGTCCACGTGTGGTGCCCCTCGAGCTGTCACATCAGCCCGGTGGAACGACAACAACAAAGACAACAAGAACAACAATAAGCAGATACTAAACTACTGACGTTACAATAAAATAAATATCTATAGAGAGCGTTGCTAATTTTTGTGCGCCCTGAATTATGAAGGCAACGTTGTATTCATACAGCCTCTCTGTGTGCCGTGCGAAAATGGCTGCACGTGAGGCTACCCTGAGAAAATTATAGATGACTATTAGGAGAAGGCCTCAAGTTATCCGACGACAGTACACACACAGAAATGCGTGAGACTTTGTCCAAATGGTGATGCACTTTTTCATCTTGTGTGTCTCATCCAGGAAGTATGCCACTATTTAGACGATATAATCCATACATTTATCCGAGTGTACGGCTCACTTTCTCAAGATTTCGCCTACCCGTCGTTTACATTTTGATGCTCTGCACGATCTGTTCATCGTCTGCATCGTCCTGGTCCATGTCTTGCACGTGGACGACGTGGTGGTCGTGGTCGCTCATTTGGACGACGACGTCATCGTCGAGCGCGGCGTTCGGGACGCCTTTTTCGTCGTCGTCTTCGTCTTCCATCTCTTGCTGGCGAGCGAACAGCAGGAACACTTGCTCGAGGCTTGTTTGACTGTTAAATGGAAGAAATATTTGTAAATTTTACGAATTTTTAGCCGTTTTCTAGATTCAGTTTACATGATAAAGATGTTAATTGATAGGAATACTTAAGGAGAAGCAAAAAGATTATTAGATATGTGTATGTTGTAGCATTCTATTGCACATGTTACGTAACACGAATTATACGAGGTTATAATTATGACTTTAAACTATGGTAATAATCTCATTAACTTCAAATGTTAATTTAAAAAAAAAATTATGTTAATGATCAGAAAAACCAGCACCGAAAATATGTCCACCAAATTTTCGAAGAGAAATTTAAAATTTCGAATATCATTGGTACCCGAGAAATTTCTTGGAAAACAAGACTGCCATCGAATGAAGAAATGTTTGGAAATCAATCAACCGTTACCTGAAGGAGCACTGAAATAGGAGGCGACAGTTACCTGAAAGAGCACTGAAATATGAGGCGACAGTTACCTGAAGGAGTACTGAAATATGAGGCGACAGTTACCTGAAGGAGCACTGAAATATGAGGCGACAGTTACCTGAAGGAGTACTGAAATATGAGGCGACAGTTACCTGAAGGAGCACTGAGATATGAGGCGACAGTTACCTGAAGGAGTACTCAGATATGAGAGCCTTGCCCTTAAGTTCCTCGAGCAGAGCAAAGCATTCAGCCAGACTCGCCACGTCGCCCTGGGGGACCTTGTACACTAGACGCCCCTCAAAGGGCGGCTCCTCCAGGGCGCTGTGAGGGAAGCTTGAGCTGATGCAGCGCTGTACGAGGGGAGAGGATCGAGGGAACTTGTTAATAAACAAGCGATAACTAACCCTGGGCTACACACTTTGTATTTCACTTTACGTTTGTAACTCTTTACAATGTAGACGTAGAAAAATATCTACCCTATGAAGAACAATAGAAAGCTGTGAGAGACTAACCCAGTTCGAGATCATAGTATGGACTGTCGAGATAACTGACTTTGAACTTAACCGGGCGTTATAATTAACTGATTAAGACTATACCGTACTCACTACCTGATCAAGATCATTCCGTACCCACTACTTGAGCCAAACCCTACGTCATCTCCTAATTTACCTTAACCCTAATGTGATATTGAATGATCCTAACTCGATTGTTTCCGATAACCTAACCTCAGAAAAATCAAAGACTTTGTTACACTACCATTGAAATTTCTGCCTATAATTGAGTCGAAATCTTAACGCGTAAGTCTCACCTGGACTTCGACCAGAGCGCCTGCAGCGTCGTGCACCTCCCCGCGTCTGGGTCGCGCCATCTTCAGTTCCAGGGAATATCCTCCGCCGTATTTATTCTTCAGGCGCTGTACTGAGCCGATGCATCTGCAGAGACAAATTTATATTAGATTTATCAAAATAATAAACTTGTACACGTGAAACAATGAATCAGAAAATCTGGGCATACCAGGACGGTTTGGGTATTAAACTACAGACACATTTCAGAATGTCGGTTCATCAACGGTCGGGTTTTCAGTACATACATACATACATATAATATATTTTTAATGAAAGGTATGGCATATACAATGGCTTATGGCACATGTGGCCTATTCTTCTTCACTTCATGTAAACCACATGGGCATATCAATGAATCTGCTACGTTCATACAGAAATGTTTAGGGAGGATCCTCAATGTAAATGTTATTAATGGAACATCCGTGAGATGCCACTGAACCAAACCATGCAGGAATACCGGACTGATGCCACTGACCTAAGGACCATTAGACTTTGGTGCCATTGACCCAATAAAACTTATGACCACAGTGACACTAACGGAGGAGCCTTTGATCTTGATGCCACTGACCTAAGCAACCCCTTGACCATGATGCCACTGACCTAAGGACCCCCTTGACCATGATGTCACTGACCTAAGCACCCCCTTGACCATGAAGCCACTGACCTAAGGACCCCCTTGACCATGATGCCACTGACCTAAGGACCCCCTTGACCATGATGTCACTGACCTAAGGACCCCCTTGACCATGATGCCACTGACCTAAGGACCCCCTTGACCATGATGCCACTGACCTAAGGACCCCCTTGACCATGATGCCTATCCTGGCGCAGAGGGCATCAGCCTCCTCCATGGAGTGCGTGGTGAGGACGGCGCTGCGGGATCCCCTGAAGGAGGCCACGACGGAGTCCCACAGGAAGCGCTTGCTGCGAGGGTCCATCCCTGTGGAGGGCTCATCCAACAGCACAGCACCCGGCCGCCCTGAGGATGTATTACACTCAGAAAAATGAACGGGGTCGTGTTGTCCACTGGTACGTCCCTTTTGCCAGGCCAAATTGGCTCATATTTGGACAATCTCACTCACTGTAATCTTGAGTGTACGTTCACAAATGCGTCAGGACGACCCACAAAAGGCAAAAACTGCTTTATTATTTGACTCTTATTACTTATTCTCTTGAATTAGGTTGATTCGTGGTGGCATTTTTTAAGCTTTCTAATAACTACTTTGGCAACCTACCACTTATTGAACAGTATAATATACTATACCATCATCTAATATCTATCATGATATTGGATGATGATATTATATAATCATGATGATATTACCCATCATGCTGCCTCTCACCCATCATGCCGCCACTCACCCATCACGCAGCCACTCACCCATCATGCTGCCACTCACCCATCATGCTATCACTCATCCATCAAGCAGCCACTCACCCATCATGCTGCCACTCACCCATCATGCCGCCACTCACCCATCATGCCGCCACTCACCCATCATGCCGCCACTCACCCATCATGCCGCCACTCACCCATCATGCTGCCACTCACCCATCACGCTGCCACTCACCCATCACGCCGCCACTCACCCATCACGCTGCCACTCACCCATCATGCTGCCACTCACCCATCACGCTGCCACTCACCCATCATGCCGCCACTCACCCATCACGCTGCCACTCACCCATCACGCTGCCACTCACCCATCATGCTG